TCATAACCCATTCACTACATCATCCATGAACTTAAAAAAGGAACGTCATACCTTTTGGGTGAAATTTTCTGCACAAACAATCTGGACACCTGTATAGATGCATATCAACAGCGGCTGCACGTCTCTAGGATGATATTGCTCCTCTACATCTGTATGTTTTGTTCCATCATGCGGACCTGTTATCCAGACAGTGGTGAAATATTAGATATGGATTGAATTTACAACGTAATTCGTGTACTGCATCTATAATTCCACGTATTAACTATGGACTCATCTGATTGGTTGACCGAGGTCATGATTATGCCCGTTGACTTGAGTCGCTGTAATTAATTATCCACTATACAACCTTTGTAGTGAAATTGAATAGAACTGAAATTTTTTTCAATCGATGTAATGTTTCATGGGATTTGTTTTTACTATTGACCATTATACTTTCAGATGTTGGATGATAAAGGAAATACTGCAGTTTACTTGCTATATGCATATACTCGTATCAAGTAATTAACTGTTTGAAATTCTGTATTCATCAAATATCTTTCTCTGTTAAACTAGTAATCTAACAACTACTTTATTTTAGTGTGTGTAAACAATGCGCTGTGTAACCTAAGAAACATGAATTGAATTTATTTTGGTTTGTAGTGACTACCTGGGGAATCCAGAATGCGCATTTCGAGCTATTCGGGATTCGTCAGCTGGATGTGCGTACACTCCCAGTGAGTAGTGGTGTTCCTGCCTAGATTGGAGTCTATAACCATCATTTAAAACGGCGAAACATGATGCACAAGGCCAAGAGTAGCACCTGTTGGCATCTGAAATGATTGGTGCAGGTTTCGAGTCTCAGTGGACACGCCATCGCTCACTGGGGTATGCAGCTGTATCCAGGTGCCGCATACCAAACAGGACGAGATGCACATCCCGGATCCCACTGCTAGTCACTACCAATGAAAAGAATTCCTAGGCATTGTTGAAGAGTCCGTACTGAAAGCCGACTTGTCAACAGAGAACGAGCACTTCAGTCCGAAACACTCAATTAACGGGAAATGTAAAATTAATCTAAAGAAACAAATTAATGTAACTTGTTTAGACTGAGGTCATTTTGTTCATTGAAATTAGTCCAACACCTATCAAACCGATAGACTGAATATTATTTTCAAGCTGGAAAACTAACGCTGAGCAAACCTTGATTTCGTATACTCTTATTTATTTACAGATCAATAATCAGAAATGCTGGCTATTCGGAACAGACAATCAATGAAATCTCAGAAACAGTACCTTTATTATTTAACCATCCTATGGAGTTCACATTGGCTAAAGCTTTATGTCGATTACCAGATATTTTACTGAAAATTCAGAATGATTTCTTGTTGCATAGCCTATGTGATTATCTTTATGAGCTGTGTTGTACTTTTACCAGTTTTTATGATGCTTGTTATTGCATTGAACGTAATCAGGCAACAGGTATGTTTATTGGTTATAATTCTTTTTTATTCAAATTAGCTTTCATTATTTTAGTAGTGTGTAGTTGATTGCTTTTGTTGGCTTCATATAGTAAAGCGCAACTAAAATACCTCGGGTTAGTTATTCAGGCATCCAACTCAGGTTAAATAAAACGAGGTCTTCTGTATTAGCGCACGTGCTCTTCTATTGCAATAGGGTAGTGCATTGTTGCAACCGATTTAATCTCATTATCGATACAGTGCGAAGGGAAACTAACCAAAGGGACTAAATGCCATGTGCATAATGCAGCAATAACACTGTAGCGTGTGCTACCACTTACAAGATTTATAAGTAGTATATAGATGCAGATACAAATATGTATATCGTCTGCAGGAATATCAAATAGCGGAGTTTTTGAAACAATATGGAAAACATGAAAGGAAGTCGAAGTAGCACAACACCGAAGATATGTGCAAATAGAGGTTCTAATATGTCTTAGACGTCATTTACCTATGTCTATACACCGAGTTGCCAATTACTAATTCCGTTGCCAAATTATCTTGTGTTCTGCCATTACGATATAATAAGATTGGATATAAGCATGTGAGAGTAGAGAGCAGATAAACTGTAAAAGTTCAGATTTACAACAAAATTGTTTTATACTTGAATCAGTTTCATGGTATTATTTTGCGATTAACATTGAATATGTTGCTTCTCAATTAGGAATCAATTATTCTTCGATATCCATTCACTTCATTTGTTATCAAATGGTCTCAATTAGTAGACGACAGTGATACTGTAGCTTATTGGTTTGCATGCTTGATCAGTGGGGTACAAGTTGTATTCCTAACGACATCTGTAAAAACACACAGCATAACTGGCTTTCACATAATACTTATGGCTCAGCATCTTGTGAGTTGGTTTTCCATCTGGAGTAAAACCAAAGTGGAGACAATACTTGGAGGAGGTGCACAACTAAGGTATTTAAGGCTGGTTACATTTAGCTGCCACACAAAAGGTAGATAAAGTGGAGAGAAAAGAGATCCAAGAGAACCACAATAAACGAAAATGTGAGGGAGAAGGAAAGGGACATGGGATCACAGAGAGTGTAAATGCATTTGAGTCATGGAGAACGATTTTCAGCCATATCACCGATAGTCCCTAGTCATTGGTTCTTAGCACCCCGAAAACCTCAGTCAGACAACCTACATGTAATTACGTGGCTGGCTCAAACCAGTTGTCAAAGACTTCATAGACTGATGTCAGGTTTTGGTTTGACTATCCCTAACTCTTTTCCAGCCTAAGAGGTGACACTCAATGGAGGCTTTGTATTTCATGCAGTATTCCAATGATTGATTAAATTCACTTGTTATTTTTCGGGTAAAAAAAGTTAACGCATAAGTATAAATTTACATTTTATACATCGTAGGTGATGTCCAAATCAACAAAGAACGCATTTTGTTATGTGAAGCTACTGCCCGTGTAATGAAATGTGGATTTGATATACTTGGAATCGAAACAGTCGAAAAGATGTAAAGAAAAAACCTGTGTATACAATAAATCTCTGGTGTATAAAGGACTTAAATTTGTTACTTCTGAAATGTTTGTAGAAAATGTGATGGAGACACTGAAAATGACGAAAAGAGACGTAAAGTAATGAATTAATGTTAATTAATTAGAAAATAGACGAAAATTGCTTTTGAAACAATTTAACCGTTAAGTATTAAAACTACGTTTTCGTTAAGAGCAGTATAATTTGTATAACCCTGTAGACAACAGGTTACATGAAATTCTGTCCCACTCGGCACATGAAGGATGAATAAATATATTGCAGACATGCTGGATCCGTAGTAAGGATTTGAAGTCCATTCAGATGATTTTTCGAAAATGTATGAAAAAATCCACCAAAAGATAAGTGTGCATATCGGTACACTAAATCTCATGGTAAGTAGGTGAAGATAGCTTATACGAGATCAAACTGACAGATCTGATTTCCTGATAACAATCAATCAGCAGCCACAAACTCTAATCAACTTGAGTATTCGGCTGATTATAGGAATTCACTTAAATTTTGCATACGTGTTATCCCTAGACGCATGATACCTGATGTGTATAGCGAGACACTAATGAATGACCGAAATACTGAGAATTACATTTTTGAAGTAAAAGTCTACGTGTTCACAGTAATAATAATGATGATATTGTACAGGAGGAAGGAAATGCGTCACTGATACAGCCGTTTAAGTTGATGTAGACGTGCCTTTATTTTAGTTGGTTCGTTATACTCAGTGAGAAAAAGGATTAGCAGTAATGAAAGAGATGCCCACTGAAGCAGATTACATGATGACATTCTTACTTTTGATACCTTAATAAACATGCATCAAATCATACTTTGTACAACCCTCAAAAACAAGACTTACTTTTAACACACACACAAGCAGACGTTTTAATACTCCAGTGAAGAACCAGCAGTCTGAGAAAGTATTTCACTTGTAAACACATCGGCCACAACTCTATATGGTTGTCCTGAAAATCAGATTCTTGAACAACTTACCAAATCTACTCATACAGTTATCCTAATATTCATTGTAAAAACTCTCAGATACATGTATCATTTTGGTTTGAGCATCAATGGACAAGAAATGTAGCATAGTCGACAGTTTGAGCCCAGATGACAGCATTTTATTGGTGAATTCAGATAACCCAGAATTAAATAATAGCAGATATCTTAATAACTACGTCCCTTTATTTCAAGAAAGCATTTTAATTTGCTGTATCTGACTGACTGGTTACATCGTAGAACTTTGCAAAGATGCGCAGCAATTCGAGTTGCCACACTCCCTCCATGTAGCACACAAAGCAAGTGAAGACAGTAGAGAGGGATAATAAACAGAAATATAAGGCAAAAAGAATAGTAGTATGGAAGAACAATAGGATTTTATTGGATATTATGAATCACAAAGAGTGAATGCATCTGCGCCAGCCGTTGAGAACGATTGTGATCCATATCATCGATTGTCTCCAGACACTAGATTTTATCACCCCAAAGACTCCAACCAAGCTGGAAGTCTACACCTCCTCACCTGGCTCGCTGAAATTAAACTAGCTAGATCGATCGACAAAGGCCTTTTTAAAACAAATACAAGTTTGAAAGTAGGTTTATAATGCAAGCGAATTTATTTCCTTTTACCATCTGAAGACCGTGCAAGTTAAATAGATATACAAGTAAAATATTTGTATAGTTCGAATGAGAAACAACTCAGAATCAAGTAATGATTCTCGCTCATTTTAATAATACAGACAACATCAATAATAAATACTAAAGATACATATGTATATGTATGTATATCACAGACAGAATAATAAAATAATTATATAAGTTTATTTATGTATTCTTCAAAATTCCTGAAGTGAGAAGAGGCCAAGGACACAGTGTTAGAAATAAAATACTGATTACGTGTGAACCAAAAGCACAGAATTCATCTCAAAACATTAATCAAACAACAAAGTATGCCAAATAAAAGTGAGAAATTAATATTATTAACAAGCACAGTGTCACAATATTAAATTGTTTCAATTGATCGACTCAAATCAGCTCGTAGACGAGTTGAAGTCTTTCTTTGTTGATGATCCTCTTCAAAGATCAAATTAATTAAACTGGAAGGTGCTAAACCCATTTCACTTAGACCGGCATCATCATCGTTTAATTCAACTTGTGTTGTTGGTGGTACTTTTAAACGTGCAGCTAACTGTAGACTAGGCGGAGTATACAAACGAAATGAACATGGTTCAGAGAAACATTCTGAAATCCATTGTCGTACTGTTAAGAGTTTATCAACAGCGTAAAATGTACCCTGTAAGTGAAAATAAATTTCTCATTATTTAGAGATTAAAAATTCTATCGACAGAAAATGTAAAACAAAGACAATCGCCATCATCAGACGAGACAATATGCATTAGCATGAACAAAAATTAAGTCAAATAATTTTGTTTTACCATGTAGGTGAATTAAAATTTTGATTTTAATAGAAAGGAGAAGAAACTCGTCAGTCGGATGCTTCTTCAGACAATCTATTATATCAAGAATATGCAAGGCTATTGATACTTCTGTCCAGCTGTTCATACTAACATTTCTTACCATTGTTTAGCCTTGATAAACTTGAACAAAACTTTGAGGCAGGATAATGTGACATCATTTCATTTCGTTATTTCTAGTCAATTGCATGCAACGCGAAATAATTTTATGTTGACACACGGAAAATATATTAACATTTTTTAGTTAGTTAACTTGAACATTACCGTTGCATAATTTAATGTCCTCTAGCTTTCAGCGGGTTCGTCTTAAAAATGTTTCAACAGTTGCATAACATTGGTCGATTTTATTCTGCTTAAATGATGAACCTTGAGGAAAACAAAGATTTCATCGAAGAAAATTCTCTTTTCGACGGTTTCGTTTCCGTAGCTTAACAATTGAATATACATGAATTACAATAGGTAGTCTCTACGCATCATCATCGAACAAGGCATAGATTGGCAGTCAAACCTGTACATTAACTTCATTGACTTTGAAAAGGCCTTCGACAGTCAACGTTGGCCGAGAAGTAATTTGGAAACTGCTTCAATACCACAGCGCTCAGCGCCCAAATCTGTATTAACCTCACTCAACACCTATATGAGAGTGCAACGTGTCAGGTGATCCACAACGGGAAACTCGAAGAAGCCTCTGAAGTGGAAACAGGAGTAGGACAAGGCTGCCTATTGCCACCAACAATGATATTCTTAATTGTGGTGGACTGGATTATGCGTCAGACTGTGAGTTGCGAGTGAGGAGACAGGAATACGCTTGACCGACAAGAAGACTCTGGAAGACGTGGATTTCGCAGATGATTTACGTTAAATATCACACGAACTCGAAGACTTGCAGGTGAAAACCAACAAACTGGCAGGAGAGGCCAGCAGACAGCGAAGACAGGATTCCAGGGGAACATAGAGAAGACGGAGGTGATGAAGATAACCAACCAACAGCAACAATCACCATCAAAGGGAGAAGTTTGGAAGAGGTTACTTCCTTCACTTATCTAGGAAGCATCGTTTTAACTACAGGCGACAGCAGGGATGAAGATGTCTAAAACGGTCACAATCGGAAAGGCGAGATACACCTTCATCAACCTGAAACTAGTTTGGAAATCTGTTCTCAGCCAGCATAAAGAGCAACAGATTGTTACGAAGCTGGCAGCGAGACAGCCAGATCATCAGCGTATTTAACGAAGTTGATTTCATTCGAAAGAGGTAAGTCATGTAAGGAGAAAGAAAGAGGGGGAGGGGAGAGAACGGTACCTTGAGGGACACCGGCTTAAGTAACCAAGACAGAAGAAGATTCCTTTTTATATACTGCATACTCCATTCTGTTAGAGGAGTAAGGACACAACAGCCTAGATGTACCCGGAAATGATTTGGGTACAGGGATCATTTAAATGTCTTTCCATGTCACGAGTACAACATTACTGGAGGAAGAAGCATTGACACTGTTTGTAGTTGGGTGACATGAAATACCAACACATCTGCTGAGGAAAACAGCAGGTACACCATCAGGACCAAGTCTCTGGGAATGTCTAAGACATTTGAGAACATCAAGAGTGTTGAAACTATGGAAGTCACTAAGCTTCATATTTGTCGCATCAGGAAACAAAGCGTCGCTCGGAGAGCGTATGAGAAATTTGTTGAGAGTATTTACATCAACAGAGGGAACAGTAATACTCTGCCTACCACTACCAGTAATTTCATGTTGAAGTTTCCACATGTTTGCAGGGGTTTCAAATGACAAACTCCTCGGTGATAAATAAATTTCAGTCTTTGGATTTCTGATTTGCTCAAGGCGCTTGTCTATTTTAGACCAGATTTTTCTTCAGACTTTTTCATCCGATCTTTTTCTCTGAGCAGCATTTTGAGGTGGTTAGAAGAGAAACGGTCCAGTCATTTGGAAAGAGTTCGTTTTTTTGTGACATACGTCTAGGCAGAATTTTAGATAATCAGTTCTATTGGCGATAGTATCATCCAATGTATGCTCAACAAACAGTTCATATTCACTGTCATTCAGCATGCATCTAAGGTTATATATGTATGTATATTTTCCTGAGAGTAGCATCTCTCGTGCGTTCTCCTGGAAAGGTGAGAAAAGATACCTGTGATTGACTTGCTGTATATTTCAGGCAACACTCGAATAATGCGATGATCAGAATTCAGTGTTGGAGCACGTTTGCTTGCTTCATATATTCCAACATAATTGGTGAACACTAAATCAGGTGCTTTGTCAAGTCTAGTAGCAAAGTTGACAATATTTACATGGTCCAGTGGTTCAAGGAAAGAACAGTTTCAGGAATTGAAGTCACTCATGGCTGTTGACAGTGAGTTCTCGAGATAATTTGCAGCAAAGACGGTAAATTCACTGACACAATTGGACAGATCCGAGAGGGCAAAACCAGAGGTCACATAAATGTTTGAGATAAAAGTATGTTTATATTTTGATAAGTATCTGGGATGACATTTGACTGTAATACCATCGATAAAATCACTAGAGAATGCAAAACACATTGCCTGAAATCGACCACTGGGAATGAATAAAAGTTGAGGCGCCACCTTCACATTTCTTTTCGGAACAAATTCGATCTCGTCCGAATAATGTAGAGCCATTTAGTGAGACCAGAATGTTATCATACAGCTCGTGAAGCCATGTTTCTTGCAGCGTGATTATAACCGTATTGTGATATGTATCACAATATAAGAGAGATTCTAGATACATAATCTTGGTGGGGAGAGAGAGGTAGTTTGTACTGTTGATAGCAAGAACAGTGGTGTGATGTATAGGTGTGCACTTTAGTTCACCCTGCCATTCAGCGTGGTGCCTTTTCTCAGCTTTGTTAAGCCTCGAGGCAGTTAAAGAACAGGGTTCGGATTGTAAATGAGTCATGGAATGACATGAGAAACAGTCATGTGGATGAAACGATGCCATTTTTACCAAGTGACCGGCCTGATTTGTTGGTCATGATCATTTTGGACGATCTTCCAATACGTTCACATGCTGGAATCCTGCCAGTCACTTGTGTGTCCCTAAAATATCGTATAAGTTCAGAATTAGCCTATTCTTAGCAGAGAACTTGAGCTTACATGACATAAAATAATCATTCTAAGGATTTGACGGGATATAAACTGCCAAGTCGGTGCTGTGACTGACGATGGCGGTGCAAGGATTTAATCAGCATTTTATTCACCTGAGGTTAACAGAGAGTCTTCTACGAACTTCCGGGCTCAATAAAGAGGTAAACGCCTTGTCATTAATTCAATACCACTTTTCGCCTAGAAGAATATGACTGGATGTTCTAAGGCCATCCGTAGTTGGTGTCTGTTCTTAACTGTTTCCCATAAGTCTAGTTGGCAATATGATGATGTAAGAGCCTAGTGATACTAAATGCTAACAGTGGGTGTACGAGTGAGCGCAAAGAAACGGTCGGTCGGTTTTCGACATAGAACTTTGCACATATGTGCGGCAGTTCAAGTCGCCACACTCCATGTAGCACACAAAGCAAGAGAAGAAAGTAGGAGAAATGCATAATATAGACAGTAAACAGAGGTGTGAGACAAAGGAATAGTAATAACGGAGAACAAAACAGTTTAATTGGAAATCATAAGTCACAAGGAGTGGATGCATCTGCGCCACTGAGAACGATTTTGAGCCATGTCACCAATTGTTTCCAACCATTGGTTTTTACCGTCCTGAGGACCCCAACCAGGAAGTCTGCACCTTCCTACGTGGCTTAGACTGACTGTTGTGGATTTCATTGACTGGTGCCATGTTTTCATTTGACCGCCGCTAGCTCTTTTCCAGCCTGGCCCTATATCAGCTAACATTGCCCGTCGAGGAAGGCGATGACTAGGCATACGTAACACATGTCCCAACCATCTCAGTCGATGTAATTTCACAGTTTCGTCGACTGATTTCCCCGCCTTACCTAGCACTCGACGGCCTAACCTCAATATTGCTCACCTTATTATACCACTTCACGCGGGAGATAGAACGCAGACACCTATGATCGAACACAGATAATCTTTTCATGTCTTCTGCTCTCAATGGCCAGGTCTCACAGCCATAAAGGAGGACGGAGCGGACTGTTGAGCAGTACACACGCCCTTTGGTCGATAGTCGGATATCGCGTCTACGCCAGAGACGGCGTAAACTGGCATATGCGAACCTAGCCCTCTGTATTCGTGCTGAGATTTCGTCAGAGATCAACCCGTTGGCTGGCTGATGGTACTTCCCAAGTAAGTGAAGTGGTCAACGTGCTCTACCACTTCACTTCCTATTTCTAATCTAGGGGTCGGTGAAGTCCAATCCTGCAGCATCATCTTACATTTTACAGGGGCGAATCGCATGCCAAACATACGAAGATTGTCGCTCAAGGTGTTCAGTAGACTCTGCATTTTGTCAGAGTCCTCGCCTAGAAGGACTATATCGTCCGCATATTCTAAGTCGACGAGATTATTCCCTGGTAGCAAGTCAATCCCTGAGTCGCTGAAGTGTGTTAGAGTTAAGTCCATTAATACGTCTATGATGAAGTTGAATAGGAATGGGGATAATGGGCATCCTTGACGGACGCCACTAGTCGTCACCACTTCAGATGACAACTCGCCATAGGCCCTCACCTGGCTGCATGAGTACGAGTAGAGTGCCTTAATCAGTGCAATGTATTTTCTCGGCATTCCCTTTACAGCCAAGCATCGCCAGAGAATCTCTCGGTCGACAGAATCGAATGCCGCCTTTAGGTCAAGAAAAATAATGATTGTCGGACGCCGGTAGGAATGCCTATGTTCTAGAATCTGTCGAAGGGTGAAGATATGATCAATTCACCCTCTACCTGGCCTAAAACCTGCCTGGTTTTCTCGTGTTTGTGTCTCCCGAGCACCACTTAGTCTACGCAGTATTATTGAGCCTAGGATTTTAGATACTATATTAGTCAAGCTAATCCCTCTGTGATTATCACAAGAAGACTTGTCTCCCTTCTTGTATATCGGGATGATCAGTGACTTACACCGATCCGATGGGACTTCCTCTGATTCCCAGACGCTGCCTAGAACCTCAGTTAACGC